GTGAAATCACGAAAATGAAACTAGTAACTAAAATTTAAATACATCCTAAAAACTAAGCGCACGTTTTATACCTTAGTACACTACTAAACAACAAACCATCGCACATACAACAAGAATTACGAGATAACTAAGAGGAAAGAGACACCTCAAGATCATTATATCCAAATCTTTTATGATTAAGAAGCTATCAAGGTAATATATATGGTAGATATTAGAGCGGAAAGAAACAATATTGTAGGAGCAGCAGATTAATTCCTCGATTTAGATGAGTCGGAGCTAAATTGGGACCAGATAATTAGAATATTGATTAACCATTTCAAAGACAAAAAATCTGAACCGGATTTGATTATGGAATTGACCCATATTAAGAAAAAGATGTAGGAATTGGAGGCCTTATACTTTAAAGGTATAATCCTAAAGAAAGCCCTAGTGGGTCTGGCCAAGTCCAGCGAGCAAGGCAAGTTGCTGAGGAGTGAAAAGACCAAGTGGTATAAAGAGATGGCCTTAAACGCCTTTGTGTCAGCCTTAAAAAGACGTAGGAGTAACCGATATAGCTAAGGTCTATAAAATAGCCTGCAGAGAAAAGAACTTGGGTACCTTAGAAGAAGCAAAATTAGAAACGAAAGGTCAAACTCTGACTGAGTCGCAGGGCAAAGAGGCTAAAGAATCTCCGAACCAGGAGCCGTTTCCGTATCCAATAATGTTTTTAATCAGGGGGAAACTTCAAACTATTCAAGACCATATCGTAACTATCAGAACAAGAATAATATTTGGAAGAATTAGGGAAATTATGGACAAAATAGTCGAAATAGACAGTGGTATGAGAACAACAATTATAACAACAACAAACCTAGAGAGGGTCAGCTAGCAGTCCAGGCGGCTGGAGATGCAGACGGCAGTGGGGAGACGTGGATGTCTAGGAACTCGAATTATTCAGGCCAATTGTATAACTCGAAGGCAGTCGAATAATTGGACCAATTTAAAACGGTCATATAATTAGACTAGTAACTCTGAGAGGGGCGGCAGTCAACTAGTGCAATCAGCCACGAATAACCAACCGGACATTTATGGACTCTTCAGATTCCACCAGTTTTTTGAAGGATTAATCGGGATAGATTTGTTACAACAGTTAAAGGTCGTGATCGACATAGAAAACAGTTGGTTCCGCACGGTAGACGAGAAGTTGCAGATTAAGTCGCTAAATATAGACCAAGCGAGGTTCACACAATGGAAGCAGAAACCAAAAGAGTTATCCCTATTCCAGTACAAGTGCCCTATGGGGTTATCTTGTTAAGTAATACAACAGTAAAGGAAAATCTGATCATTTCAGAAGGTATTTACAGGGCAGTAACTTGACAGAGCATGGTAGAAGCGGAGATAGACTAGGAGTTGTTCTTGGATGAACCATTAAATGCATTCAAAACCGAGCAGCATTTCGAACTCAATAATATAGAAGAGACAGGTAACGGAGATAAAAACGTAATATTCGACAAGATCAGGACAGAACATTTAAATAGCGAGGAGCTTCGAACTCAATAATATAGAAAAGACAGGTAACGGAGATAAATACATACCATTCGACAAGATCAGAACACAACATTTAAATAGCGAGGAGCTTAAAGAGCTTTAAAAAAATTTGCAGGAAGTACCCGAAGGTAAATCATAAGGAAGGTGATAATTTGTCTTTCACTAATGCTGTCAAACACCAAATCAGAACGAATGATGACATACCAGTGTATGCATGAAGATTATTAGACATTGCCGCTCACCATGGAGTGCGCCGGTTTGGCTGACGCACAAAAAAAGGATGACTCAGGAGAGAAGAAATGGAGAATGGTGGTGGACCATAGGAAATTAAATGTGAAAGTAATTAGGGACGAATACCCACTACCAATAATAAACGATGTGTTGGAAAGCTTGGGTAGAGCCAAATATTTCTTAACCTTTGGCGAGTGGATACCACCAAATCGAGGTAAAGGAGGAAAATATACCGAAAACAGCTTTCTCCGCTGAAGGGAGGCACTTCGAGAATGCGAATGCCTTTCGGATTGAATAAAGCTCCCGAAACCTGTCAAAGGTTAATGAATAACATTTTTGGAGAATTGCTAGGAATATCATGTCTCATATACATGGACGACAATATGGTGTTCTCAACGTCGTTGCAAGAAAACATCACAGATTTGGAAAGAGTTTTTAAGAAGCAAATTTTAAACTCCAAATGGGCAACACAGAATTTTTGATAAAGAAGGTAGAATATTATTCGGGCACGTAATAACCCAACAGGGTATAAAACCAAACTCAGGGAAAATCGAAGCAATAAAGAGATTCGAGATTTCCAAGACTATGAAGCAGATCAAATCATGTAGGGTACTATAGGAAATTTATACAATATATCAATGACGAGACAAAACCTTATTATGCAACGACCCGATCTTACGGTTTCCCGATTTTAAGAAACCATTCATCCTAACCACTTATGCAAGAAACTATGCGATTAGCGCCGTATTGTCCCAGGGAAATCTGAGAAAAATGTCCCAGAGATAGCGACAAATTGAGAGAAAATTCACTCCGCTGGGGAAGACCAGCAACTGGGATTCCCAATATCAGATAAACCACTGAATGAGTATAATATTCAAGTCATTGTACAGGAAGGGAGAATAACAGGAGTTATAAAACAAATTCGATTCAGGAATGAATTATATGTAATTTAGACGAAAATCAGTTTTAATGACCAAATTATTGCCCGTAGGCAAAAAGAAAATCTAAAACCTAAAAGAACGGTGGCGTTGTTAATTCTGGAAAACTTAGTGGTAACAATCTAGGATGTATATTGCAAATACTTTTCTGTATAGTATAGATATAAAGTTTTGTTGTCAGGTATGACGGAAAAGAGCGAACAGAAACAAGTCTTTGGGGAGTATCATGAAAAGAGTTCCCAAATTGAGAAATACGATAGGAAACCAAATATGATAAAGTACAGTCTGACGGAGACACCGGAGAGACCTGTGGAAATAGTACCTTAAGACTTGTATTTTGTGAACAAGAAAAATGTACTAACCATAATGGCACTAATTCTCAAGGTACGCTTGTGGATTAACGATCCCAGTAAAGGAAAGCGTAATTATAGTAAAGGCAATAAAGAATTTCATGTCCGTATTCAGCAGTCGTCGAGCAATTTCAAGGTTGGAAGACCGCAGGAACTATTCACTGGGAGAACGCATAGTTTCTTTAATAACGTGTCGTTTAACAATGAACACGAATATTTGCCAAAAAATAATGCGTTTGAGGCGGAATTGTACCTGTATGTTGCCATAAAAGGTAACCACTTTGTTGTAGAGAAGATGAAGTCGGGGGCGTCGTGGAGTAAGGCCGTCAGCTTTATTCTGCTGCATACATGAAACTGACTTAACCTATTTTAGCATAAGAAAAAGCTGCTACCGCCAGAGCGGACGATCGCTAACGGCCGACCGCTGCAGTTGCACCCGAGAGAGAAAGAGTGCAAGATTGTGCAGAGAGGGGCGAGGGCGGATGCGCTCTTCAGCGTGGATGCGCTCTTCATCGCGGATGCGCTCTTAAGCTCAGATGAGCGGCGGCACAATGGCCCCTCACCTAAACATCCCGCCCCCTTGCAATCACTCGGGTTGCAACAGCTCCCTCGTCGCTACGGTTGGTGACAGGCTCCGGACACGACCCATCCAAAAACGGTGCTCTGGGCCACCGGCAGCCCGTCCTAGATCTTCAGAAAGCCCGGCTGCATGATACGCGGGTACATATCCGCGCCCAGGACAACGGAGATCATCGCTGGCAGATAGAACCGCTCATCCGCAAATGTCACGCCTCGGAAGTGGGCACGCACCGCCTCGCTCAGCTCTCGAGACGGCGTACGAACGCACGTGAGGCTCGATTTTGAAAACGACCTCCAGCCGAACGCTATCATCCGTTTTGGAACTTGTTCGTCCCACACGCCGGTAGTGGGCAGACGGAAACACGCCTCTAGCGATGGGTCGATTCAGCTCGAGGGCGTACACGGGTCGATAAGGGCCCCCGTGTCAAAGATCCGGGTCCCGGTGTCAATGCGCTCTAGCGCGGTCGGCAGCATGTTGACGCTGTTCCGCTGCAGCAGCGACGATAGGGTGGGCGCAGCGGTCGCGTCCTGCGGGGTCCCTTGGCTAGAGGCGGAAAATTGCCTAGGCGCGGATGACGCGGACGGACGAAGGCCGTGGAGCACCTGAAGCTTGCCGGCCAGTGGCGGAAGAATGCCGAGGAGCTGCCGACGAGCGCCGGGAAGTCGATGGCCGTGGACCGGCTTGTGAGTGCCGGAAGGTGGCGGACGAAGGCCGGGAAGCAACCGAACCGCGCCAGGAGTTGACGGACGATGGCTGAGCGCCAGCTGAGACACTCCGTGTACTGTCTCCCGCGTTCCGTGACCGGTGCTCCTCTTGACGCGGTTGGCGCCGAGCCAGGCAGCTGGAGCAATACCGGTTCACGAGAACCGCCCGGAGCCGCTTCTCGGCACTGAGACGTAGAAAGCGCCGACATTTCTTTAAAGGATGGATCCCACTGCAGACTCGGCATCGGTAGGACTGTGTACCTCGAGTACATATGCTCTCCAGTGACTGGGCGCTGCGTGGACGTGGCGACATCGTGCTGAATATGACTGTCGGAACTATGATGAAGAAATAAAACAGCGTTATCAGAATTGGTGTGAAGTTCGACTTGGAACTACGGGCAGAGCTACGAGACAGCACAATGGACAGGGACATTGGAACGGAAGAAACGCATAATTATTGTGGGCAGGCAGACGCGTCCATCGGAAGAAGAACGACCTTAGCAACGGGCCGCTTGACGAGCCCTCGAGCGATGCGGATGTCGATCACGCGGACATGGCCATCGGATCCTGGATACACCACGTCAATCCTGCCTAATCGCTACTCATTGGACGGAAGGTTGTCCTCCTTGATGACCACCACACCTCCAACGCGGAGATTCCTCGTAGGGGCTCACCAATTGTTCCTTTTATGGAGCTCCTTGAGGTACTCTTCCTTCCATCGCAGCCGAAATTGCTGTTGAAGAGCCTTCAGGTGCTGCCAGCGATTAATAATTGACGTAGTATCCAGCTCCTCAAAGGTGTAGAACAAGGTCTTGAAGCTCTTGACGCCTGCCTCCCACAGGGCCCCCATGTGGGGGGCTCCCGGAGGAATGAAATGCCAAAGAAGCTGTTGGTGACTGTAGGCACCGGTCACAGCCCCCTTTAGGCTCTGGAGACAATCGCGAGATAGTAGGGCAGCTGCCCCCACAAAGGTCTTCCCGTTGTCCGACTGCACTTGACTGGGGCATCCTCTCCGGGAAACGAACCGAGCGAAAGCAGCCAGAAATTTCTCGGTCGTAAGGTCCGACGTAGGCTCTAAATGGATGGCCTTAGTGGAGAAGCACACAAAAACCAACACATACCCCTTTGTGATGAGGCAGGGTCGCCCCGTATAGTTCTTTATCTCGAAAGGACCGGCATAATCCGAGAAGGACGTCCGTTCCTTCGGAAGCTCTCCCATGAGTTGCGTCTGCAACTTCTTCTTGTGGATGACACATACTTTACAAGCATAGACGACGGACTTGACCAACTTCCTCACCCTTGGAATCCAGAATTTGGCCCGAATCAGGCGGATCATCAGCTGATTGCCACCGTGCAGCGTGATGCGATGCGTAAATTGAACAAGGAGTCGAGATAGATGGCAGTCGTATGGAAGGATTATCGGATGCCGTTCGTCATATTGGAGAAGTTCAGAGGACGTGACCCGGCCGCAGGCACTCATAAGGCCTTGCGAATCCATGAAGGGGTTCAGATTTTGAATCGGACTGGATGCTGATACTGGACGCTTTTCGCTTAAGCAGCCCATTTCAGAGGCGAAGTGTCTGCGCTGAGTGACGGAAACTAGAAGACGTTCAGCCGACGTAATCTCATTAGCTGTCAGGTGCTCTTCGAACGGAGATCGTATCTTCCGCGCGCGCTAGATGAAGCGATAAGCATAGGCAAGGACTCGCAATGCCTTGTCGAGTGTGGAAAAACGTTTAAGGAGATCTTCGGGGGGAACCTTCGCGACATGGACCTTGACTGCTCGCTTCTCGAGTTCAGTCACAGGGGCATCGTTGCCTTGAGTGGGCCACTCGCTGCGAGGCCGTTACAGCCAGCCAGGACCATGCCACCACAACTGGTTATCCGCAAGGTCTTGGAGAGCTACGCCCCGGCTGGCGAGGTCCGCAGGGTTCTGCTCGGAGCGGACATGTGCCCATTTCTGCACGTCGGTGAACTGGGCGATCTTGGCTACCCGGTTGGCCACGAACGTTGTCCACTGACACGCTGGTTTCTGCAGCCACGCGAGGACAATAGTCGAGTCCGTCCAACAGTATGGGGCATCTTTGGCAGAACGGTGGTGGCCATCTCGGACAACAACAAGGCACCGCACAGCTCTAGCCGAGGGAGCGACACCGTTTTAATTGGGGCCACTCGAATCTTTGCAGTCAACAGGTTCACTTTTTCGCCCGGACAATGAAAGGAGCGAGCCAACCTGCTGGATCGAACAATTTGGCAATTTGGGAAAGGACTTGGCGCTTCGTGAAGGACGAGCCGGAAGTCAACTCTGGCGGAACAAAAAAAAACTCATCACTCGTCGCTTTCCACCGTACGCCGAGTGTCTTGGCCGTGCTCTCTGCATCGATGTCGAGGAAATCAGCACGAAGGAGGTGGTCGCTCGGAATGTCGGCCAGGATCGCCTTGCTATTCGACGTCCATTTCCTAAGTGGAAACCCTGCCGACTCTAGGGCGCCCTTTAGCTCCCGAATCACAACTTGGGCTTCGGTTTTGGAGTCTGGCCCCGCGAGAACGTCATCAACGTACATAAAATGCCGGATAATTTGGCTTGCCGGCGGGTACTTCAACTCTTCGTCGTCAGCGAGTTGTTGCAGGACACGGATCGCTAGGAACGGGGCACAATTGACACCGTTTTTAATTCGTAGTCGCGGATCTCCCCATCGGGATTGCGAAACAAAATACGTTGGAGCGAAGTATGCTTGGGGTCTACCCAAATTTGCCGATACATCTTCTCGATGTTGGCGTTGAAGACAAAACTAAAGTACCGCCACTTTAGGATTTGAATCGTCAGGTCGGATTGTAAGACCGGGCCCGCGTAAAGAATGTCGTTCAGACTGGTCCCGTTTGCGGAAGGGCTCGAAGCATTGAAGACTACCCGCACCTTGGTGGTCGTGCTTTCGGGCTTGAAGACGGCATGATGTGAAAGATAGTAGGTAGCGGAACTGCTCGTGGGAGAGACCTCGGTCATGTGGCCTAAGTCGATGTATTCCTGGATTACCGAGTCATAGCGGGCCTTAAGGGGCGACTCCCTCTTCAGGCGCTGCTCACTACGCACGAACTAAGCAAGAGCAAAGGACCGCGAAACCGATAGCTCGGAACCCTTCTGCTCAGGGTCGCGTAAGGGGAGCATCACAACGTACTTGCCACACTCGTCTCTTCTCGTTGTCTGGACAAAATTGTGCTCGCAAAATGAATCCGATTCCGAATTGATCTGTGTGGGCACATCTTCCACCTCCCAAAATTTGGTGAGGAGCTGATCCAGCAAGTCACCGAGGCTACGGGCAACTCGTGTGGAAAAAACGGACACGCTGCGAGGGTTGGCTGAAGATAATGGGCCTGTCAGCACCCATCCAAAAATAGTTTCCAGACCGAGAAGCGACCCGCAGATGTTAGCCCTGGTATTACCGAGGAGAATGGACGGAAGAATGTCAGCTCCTATTAACACAACGACTTGGGAGCTTTCAAAGAAGTTAGGGTCCGCCAGGGGAATGTCGGGCAGCCCCTTGAGACGATCCCGCGGAATCGGATATGATGGCAGATTTCCTGCCAACTGCGGAAGAACGTAAGCCGCAGTCTCTAATTGTAGCCCGGGTCTAGACGGCGACCGAATGGAGAAATGGCACAATTTAGTAGACTGCGCGGGAATGGTCTGATTAAGACCGGACACTTGGGCTTGAATCGTCTTGAAGGGAAGCTTGACAAGGTTGAACAGTCGTTCAGTTATGAAAGTCGCTTCGGACCCTGAGTCTATCAGTGCTCGTTCCTGAAGCCACTAGGCCTGACGTCGTCGATGGCCTCTGTAAGGAAGTTATCTAATTTCTTCCATGTTGGAATTTCGGCCTTATTATGTACGGATTGCTCCCACATAGAATGTGTGACTTTGGGGAGCTTTGAGGAAATCATAAATACCAGGAGACAGTCCCAAGCCTCAACTTTGATGGCGGACTTTTCTAAGACTGTCAGACAACTCTAAATGGTGGCTTGCAGCTCCCTCAGCGCGACCCCGGACTCTTGAGAAATAGACTGGAGGTTGAAAAGGATCTTCAACTGGCTATTGACCAATAGCCGCCGGCTCTGTGAGGCTTTGCCACGCTGCGACAAACCCCTCATGGGTAAGCGGAGCCTTAGCAACAATGGCGTGTGCGTCACCACTTGTTTTGGACAGCAAGTGGAACAACTTCTCTACCGGGGTGAGCCGCGTGTTTTGGATGTAAATGGTCGTAAACAAGTCTCTAAAGGTGGGCCACCGAAGATAATCACCCGTAAAGGCCTCAATATCCACTGGAGGTAACCGGCAGCCTGTAGACGCGGGCGTGTGGACATTGACGGAAGCCTGAGTGGATTGGGAGGCAATTTTCTCCCGAAGCTGGGCAATACACCTCGAATATACGGAGTAACAGTAGGTGTACTTCGATTTCAGCACTGTTGAGGTGGCCGAATTGTCGTCGGACACGGCTAGCAAATCGGAGCAGCTCTCATAGCACATCTCCACCTCCTCCCAGAGTACCCGAATTTGGTCTCGATGGACTTCGCACATGTATTGGGAGACTATTTCCGTTTCTAGGGCGCCCGGGGTATTTATGTTAGCCTCATATTGGCTAATTCGATCTGTTGTGGCGATAAACTTTTTCAGCGCCACTTCGACCGCACTTTGAGCCATTTTTACAACGGAGCGAGTCTGCCTCTGTGAAGGATCGGGGATTGTATTGACGTTTTCGTCACTCTTTGCCCTTGGAATGGCCCTGGTCGCCTTAGGCTTCAAAAGAGGCGTCCGCGGAGTTGCGGATTGAGATCTGTCCAAACTGATGGCTGGGATCGGACGCGGATTTTTGTCGTCTCCCGTGGGCATTTTCAAAAATCAATTAGCTGGTCAGCGCTTGGCGACTGACTTGCGCAATAGGGGCCTCGTTCGAAGCGGTGGCCAGTTTTACTGATGTGATGAGAACGGTGAGATCGCGGATGGATTGCGATCACAAAGAACTAGTGGGCACTACCGGCACCGATGTCGAAAGGAAGGTCGTGTGCGGCACAAATCGAATGTGAAAAAAACTTCAGGAACCAAAACCAACCCAGAAGTAGCGAGGTTTGTCGAGATTGTAGGCGGATGTTGCCTGATGCGGAGTAGAAGCTGCGCTAGAGGCACGGAAAATGAACAATTACCGGAAAAAACGTGATCGTTCGGAAAAGAATTGATGGCGATCTATATGTGTATATTTATATAAATGTGGCTCGTACGTAGATTTTGAATTCCTAACTATTTTCAAAATTAATTGATTTTTTTTAATTGTGTGTTACGCAGCCGGGTATGCCGTCGGCACCCTGTACGTAGTTCACCCCAAAGGAAAAAAAACAGCACCAAAAAAAACACAACTCGGCTACTGAGGCGGCGAGGTTGAGAATTTAGGCGACACAATCAACTTTTTTCAAACAGATTTTATTTCAACTTAATTTTTTCATTTATTTATTTCCTGAAATTGGAGGCAGAAAATGTATGGAAATATATGGACATGCAAGTTATATGACACATTATTTAGGTGCTCTTACCCAATTTATAAGCAACTTTGAGCCGAGAGCCAATTTCCAAATAACTCTGACAGACCCGAGATAAATCCGTGGTCAGCTATTTCTGTCAACCAGGCCTCCGAATCATTTCCACCCAGATCAATTTCACGCAGCCCATATCAAACGGATGCTGTAAACATCCAGTCCGCTAACGTAAACAAAAGATCCCCAAAGCGAGCTCCGAGTCCGCTAACGTAATCAAAAAGATCCCCAAAGCCAGCCCCGAGTCCGCTAACGTAATCAAAAAGATCCCCAAAGCGGTCCCTAAACTCCGCTATGTAAACACCAATTTCCGGCCAAGATTGGACTTTAAATTTAATTGGCAAATTGCATCATCCTATTTTCCGACTCTCTTGAGCCATTCCCTTTATCAACTTTTTGGTGATAAATTCTCTTAAGCCGAGGTTTGATTATTAATCATTGAACTAGAGATCGAGAGTCCGTTTTTAGATCCGAATCGAGGAGTAGTGCTTATCAAGATAAAGTAAACGAGCAGTAAATAGACTAAGTTCGACCTATTGAAAAATTGTAAAGTGATTAAGTGATTAAGAAATAAAAATACATTTTTTTAATTAAATCACTAGTGAGAAACTTAATTGGCGTCCAACGTGGTCCATGCGATTTAAAAAAAAAATTCTAAAAAAAAAGCTTTAAAATAAAAACAAAAAAGTTTTAAGGTGAAAAAAGTTTTAAAGTGAAAAAAGGCGCAGCCAAAAACCCGATACAACCGACGAATAAATAAAGCCTGTGTTGATAAAAATAAGGTGGAAATTAATAAATGTAATAATCCCCTTAAACTCTAAACAACCGGCAAAAAATAAAAAGTTTGTGTTGATCAAAAAAACTAAGGTGGAAAATAATTATTGAAATAATCCCCTTAAAATCTCAAATTACAAAATAGTGATCGTAACATAAATTCACTGCTCGGACAATATAAAAATCAAAAAGTGACAAAATATTTCATCA